CAGACAACGAGAGCCTAGGCTTGCTATCAACAGGAGCCTCCAAAGCGCAAGGAGCCAAGGAAGTGAGGGCCTCAGGGGAAGAACCAAGGGGGAGCTCGGGACCGGCCGTTGAGCTCGCGAGGCACAAACCACCAACCTGGGCCATCCGCAACATTTCGTCGAGAGCCTGGTCAATGCAGGAAAGCTGATGCATAGACCAGGGGCACACCTCAGGATCATTGCGAAGCAGAAGAACCTCACCCCTCACGTGCGTGAGGACACCAACCCAGGAGGAAGGCTGCAGTGGAAGATCAGTGCCAGCATCCTGCAACGCACGAACTAAAGTGGCAGCGTCCTGCAGGGTAGTCTCAAGCAGAACGTTACACAGCGAACGGTGGAGAGCAGAACAAGCCGAAGCAGAGGAAGCACAGTCACTCGAGGAAGGCGCAGGAGCCTCAATGTCATGAGGCCCCGAGGCATCTGAGGCACAATCCGAGAGCTGCAAGCGGCGTCGTGAAGCGCGGGGAGGAAGCTCATGTGATTCGGCATCTGATCCACATTCTGAGAGTCGAAGGCGCCGACGGCCTCCAGTCCCACCTCCTCGAAGGAGCTGAGAAGTCACGTCCAAGATCCTGTGGCCCGTGGCGTCATGGCGATCACGAAGGGCCTGCTCAGGAACGCCTTTGTAAGCGCACCAGTGCTCCTCCTTGACGTCAAAGTGGAGAGCAATGTGCCCTTCAGCCGCGTCCTCGTTGAGCAAGAGAAGCTGTTGCTGAGAAGTGCAGACCCAAACTCTGCAGTCGAGAGCCCACGCAAGAGCCAGCAGCTCGATGGATCCTCCCCAGGAGGCGTTGGCCGAGAACTCCTCGACAAACTGGTCGAATGTGAAGGAGTGGCCGTCGCCAGGAAGCCGCCCAATGGTGTTAAAGCAGCCAGCTGTCCTCCAGAGGGGCTCAAGATCGTTACGGTACTCTTTGAGGGCTGTGGCAATGAAGCGACGCAGCTGCCGATGCGTGCGCTCTCGCCCACCCAGATCCAACTGGGAAAGTGCCAGCACTAAGCAGTTCCCCTGACCCTGGTTAGTCAGTAGCTCGCCAGGGGGGCCCCACTGCTGGCCAGGTGCACTGCCCTCGGAGTCGATGGCCATGGTCTCACCCGGGGCCTCCCCCGGTGCAACACGCTTGCGACAAGGCATTGGATCATCGTCAGCACCGACATCGTTGGGCTTGCCATGAGCAATGTCAGGAACACTAGGGGCCCGGCCGCCGTTCACAGCCCGAGCCTTGCGAGAGGCACGCTGAGAAGTCCCAGGCCCACGCGCCGCAGCAAAGGCATCACTGAAAGTCACGGTCCTAGGCTCAGCGATCGCCTCACCAGCAGGCGTGCGCGAACCCCGGCGAGCACTCTCCTTCAGAACGACAACCTCGGAAGTGCTCGGGTCATCAGGATCCCATTGCACAGCTTGCGAAATGACCTGAAGGGCATCACCTCGAACGGCACGGAAGCACCAATCGTGTCCACGGCGCGTGCGGTGGCGCGTGGACACGACAACACTCTCAAACCCCATTGCCTCGGCCAGCTCCTTAACGTCATTCATCATGAAATGACCAGGTATGTTGCGCATGCGCCACAAAACGGATGGCCTCTGGAATGAGGGGTCTGTGCGCCGCATTCGGACGCCTATGCCGCGCCCCAGCACAAGTCCGAGCCCAGCCTTGGTAGCAGCTCGTGCAACATAGGCATCGTAGGTCTCGCCGGAGGTCCATGGAAGCCATTGTACCCCGACGTCTTGAGCAAAAGCAAGGTCCTTAGACTCTCCAACCAAGTCAACGAACCACCGCGTCCCATTAGCAAGCTGCCCTGAGCACTTCCAAAGGCGGCTTGCAGCATCAGAGGCGCGAAGACGAAGCATGCCGGTGACACGCGTGCCGGAGCGCTGGAAGCCGAAGGCATCGATGATGCCAGCCTGAGCAACCCCCGAAGCACCAGCCCAAAGCCGGGCGAAATGGCTCGGCTTGCGAGCGATGTCCTCCCAATGGTCCTCGCCAAAAGCTTTGTCGTAAGTGACGCGAACCACAAAGGTCGAAGCACGAAGGACAGGCAAGGAGACAGGAGGCTTCTTGACGACCACAGCCTCCGTAGCCCTCGTCACCAAAGTGGGGGGCGCAGTGCCACCCACCACCAGCCAGCAGCGCCTAGTGCAAAGCCTGCCTTGTTCATGCCCAGGCACGGCTACAGAGACAGCCCCCGCAGCCCACTCAGGAAGCTCGGAAGCATCAGAAGTAACAGGAAACAAGAGTGAAAGATCAGTCGCATGGTCCTCGTCCTTGTCTGCCTGGTACAGGTCGAAAACCTCCTCTGCCTCCTCCATGGTCTGCACATAGACAAGCCATGCCACACCAGAGGAGACATCCAAATCCTTGCTAAAGCTGGCGGCCGAGTACGCGTAGCCGATGGCCGAGGAAGCCTTCCAAACCCGCTCGTCCAGGTGCCAACTGCCCGGAGACTCCACCTTGTCACGGCGCTTCTTCCAGCGAGCTTTGGAGGCACGAGACTCGCCAGCACCATTGGCAGCAGCAGCATGGCTCTCAGCCCATCGGCGCCGAGTCGTCACCACACGCGTCGGCTCAGCAGGTGCAGCCGAAGCTGCCTTAGCAGAGGCACCGTAGTAAGACACCGCACGGCCCGCACGA